TTCTGTCCATCCCTAATGACAATCGATCAGCCCAGGGAAGCATGGTGTGATCCATTTTCAAGGCAAATCTATAAATCCAATCTCACCCAACTGCAAGAAAGAGCTTTTAACTCTCTGCAGACACTGCCAGAAACTGGGGCGAGCTTTACAAGCCCCCCAGGTATCACCTGGAAGAAGCAGTAGATAAAACCCTAGTCACAACTCCTCATTCCTCTGCTACTTTTTAATGAACAAAAAGCTCTTTAACTGAGGAATGGTTGTTTTCAAACCTTGTACCTCCATCCTGACTCACAGGCAGATCTTTAGGCCCAGTTTGCCTTGTGGACTCTGCTACATCCTTTGCCCAGTTTGCCCTGGAGTGAGAGCCACACATTTTCCACGTTCCTCCACGAGACAGAGGGGAGTGGGTTTGCAGAAAGGGCAAAGATACTCCTTCTGCTGCAGTCTGAGCACCCTGCCCAGCAGGATATTTGGGGTGTTTTCCTCCTATTTCTATGCTTTATTGCTGTCTTTAATCTGGCAGAATGACCCCCTTCTCCTCAGCACTCCCAGTGAGGAGGCTGAGTGCCCCAGCCATGGCTGGCCACACAAAATAACACAGAATATGTCAAATGAACAAAACCAAAAGGAACAAACTGGAAAACAAAACACAAATCAGGCCAGTAATTTGAAACAAAACAAAACCAAAAATCAGAAAAGAAATCATAATAATAAAATAATACTGATATAAAAAGTGACTCCTTCCAGAACTTTCCCAGTCTGTTTACCTACCTTCCACTGCTTCAACTGCTAACTTATAAGACTTTCTTACAAGAGAGCAAGAGGAACTGAGCTACGAGGCCAGACCAAGCTCCTGGTGGGTTTCTGCACATGACTGGCTTTTAAAATGCCACTCTGCCCATGACTAGTCCTCCCGAGTCCTCCCCCTGACAGCAGAACCTCAGCTATTGCAGAAAGGGCAATTTTGGACCCCAGTCTGTTCTCTTTTGCTAAGCTATCAGCACAGAGAGCAGGGTGACACATTCCCACTGATGGATCTCCCCCCGTGGCTCTCTCCATCTGCAGGGATTGATGCAGCACCTTATCCAGAACGGAGGTCACTGCTCCTCCCACACCCCAGAACCGACTCAAGTTTGTTTCAAGGTATGGAGGGAAAGGCTGAGCCCTCTCCCATCGCTGCCATGATGCCGTTCCCTTCTTTTTTTTTTTCTCCCCAGCAGAGGCTGGTCATAATAAAATCCACCTCTCCTACTCAGACCAGCCAAAGCCACCACAGCCGAGAAACCCACTGCAGAGAGGGTCTGACCTGACCTACCCTTCCATCCTGAACCTCATTCTGAAAGCCCCAGCGAGCAGAGCTCAGCTCCAGCTGGCCCTGGGGTCACTGCACTGCAGCTGCTGCGTGTCTCGCTCGCTCACTCACCCTCTACTCCAGCACAGGGACCTACCGAGAGGCCCTGAGGTGAGGCCTCCTTTGGGGATGGTTTGCACTTTCTCTGGTCAAAAAGGCAGGGTTGGGGGGGGAAGTTGTGATACGGGAGGAGGCCCAGGTGCCACCTGAGCCCCCTCCCCGTCACTCTCATCGGCCGCAGCACTGGAGGGAAGCGGCCGCCCAGTGCTGGCTGACGCTGGAGACGCGCCTGGGGAGCTCATGGCACTGTGATTCCTTCACAATCCAGCCCAACCTGTGTGACTCTGGAGACGTGGGGACAGCAATGAGACCCGGGGAGCTGCTGCAGGAGGCCGAGAGCCGCAGCCCGAACTGGGGGCTGGGAGTTCACATCTGTGAGCAGCTCCTTCCACTGGACAGGGAGCCACGGCAAGGGCAGGAGCCCCCAGCCAGGAGGGCACCACCTCTGTCTGCTGGCCTGTTTTCACCAGGCAGACAGCATTTTGGGATCCCTCCCCCCCCTCCCCTGGGCTCCAGGACATCCGTGACTGTGTGCAGAGCCACGCACGTGTGGGTGAGCCTGCAGCAACAGGGTGGACTGTATTTGTGAATCTGCTTGAGACCAGCCAGTTACTCACCTGAGCTGCATCTTTTACATGCTTTAAAGTTGACTGTCCAAGCCACAAGAATGACCCTTACTGACCTTGCACAATATCATGTTTTTTAACCCTTTAGGTACCATAGACTTTGGGTGAGTTTCATTCACTTCATGTACTGTGAGGAAGGGGGACGGGAAGGAGAGCAGAGCTAATGAGGGGGGAACATCCTCTCTCAGGCAGGAACAGAGGGTGAGAAAGCCCAGTTGTTCCTCCACACCTGCACATGCAGCCTCACAGCACCCACCCTGCCACCCCTGTCTGCTGCCCACACTTTTCACCCTGACGTTTCCAAGTAGGAGAGTTGCCAGGGAGCCCTGGGAAGGTCATGGCTAACCAGAAAAGGGCAAACCAGCTCCTTCCAGCCATGAAGAGTTCTGTTAAGTTTTACAATCTACGTCTCTGGTACTTGAAGAGTTAAAACCCAGCTACTTCAAGAAGAAAAAGATACTTTACCTTTAGTTTAATGGATTTTACTTTGGTTATGATGCTCAGGAGGAGCCACCCTGACAGGGAGGTGCAGGGAGGGGTGCAGTGCAGGGGGGCTGCAACATGCAGGGACAGGGTGGGGGAGCAGCGAGCGGGTTGGGAGGGGGATTTGGCATTCCAGGGACAAGATGCCATCGTGGTGTGACATCACCCAGCAAGGGACAGACAGAGAGAGAGCAGGGAGCTGGTTCATCAGGCTGCAGAACGTGCAGGCAGGCAAGCAGAGAGCAGAAGAGAAAAGAAAGAAGAGGCATGGAGCGGGCCAAGGAGGAGTTGAACGGAAAAGGAGCTGCGGAGGGAAGACACAAAAGCCTGTCCCGAGCCAGAAGGTCTGTGAGCCGAAGGATGTCGCCCGGACCAGGGAGAATTGACTCGTTCCTCCAACAGCCAGCCAGGAAAAAATGTTTCACCGTGTTACAGGACACTGACAGCTCCCAGCTGATGTTCTTAAGAGCGTTAAATTAATGGAACTCTCCCTATGAAAGCTGAGCTACAGAGAGAGAAACCCGGCCCTGTTCTGGGCAGGTGCCAAGTTAGAAAAAGCCCCAAAGCCTTCCCCTTTCCCAGATCCCCTTCTCCTCACCCTTTAGGGACAAATTTTCAGCAGCGCTAAAGCCCAACTGCCGTCAGCTCCCACACCCCTCTTCCAGCCTGTTTTATTGAACCAGAAAGAACAAATCCCAGACCCTCTTTTCCTCCCACCCCCACAGATCTCAAGGAGAGAAACCCCTTGGAAAACAGAAGCAGAGTGTAAGTTTAGCACTTGTGTTTTTTTCAGGTCTTTTCAGTTCATTTCCCCCATCCCACAGTGATGCTCCCTCTGACAGTACCACACTGGGATCAGAACCAGCAGATGTGCAGCAGAGTCAGGAAAGGATTTTCCTATGAAACGTAGAGAGAGTATGGAGAAAAAAAAAAAAGAGAAGGAAAAAAGGGGAAAAACATTTTGAAGGAAAGAAGAAAACAAAAATCTTTGAATGGAGTGGAGGCCTGAGAAAGCCCCAGTGAGGAATTCTGTCTGTGCAGAAACAGACTCCCCTTTCTTCCCACTCCTCAGGGGACAGAAAGAGAAGGAGAAGGAGAAAGAGAGAGACAGCAGGATGTGACAATTAAAAAGCCCAGCCCAGAGCCTGCTGCTCCCCCTTGTTAGGGACTCTAAAGGATGGGAGTGGGTACTCTCCCTCCTCACACTGGTGACCAGAGCCATTTCTGAGTTAGTTCTGCTCCTGGCTACTCCAAACTGCAGCGGAGTGATTTAGTAGAGATGAGAGGAGACAGAAAACACAAAGAACAGCTGCCACAGCCACTCATGCAGTGAAAAAACACCTCATTTAAAAGCAAAGATCTGTGAAAAGCCCAGGTTGAAATATTGCCATCCAGGGTTATTGTCCCCGGGGCAACAGCGAAGGGAGACAATCCATTAAACTAAAACCAGCACGTTTTGGTTGCATACACTCCACCCTGGTATCATCAATATCCCCCCTCCCTGCCTCCACACGACTCCTTTCTCCCACTCTGCTGGAGCCCAAACGGGACCATTCCCAGCACTCACTGGGCCAGCAGATCTTCCTCCCCACACCTACGGAGTTGCTCACGGAAAAGAGCACAAGGCCTGCTTCCCCAAAGGGTGGTGAAAACGTTGGACTTGGAGTATCACCTCCCTTTCTCCTCTCCCTCCAGACTCCCCACCATCTGCCTGCTCCGCTGCCCGTGCCCCCCTTCCCGACGGCCGCTGCTCGGGCTGTGTGGGGACAGGCTGGTGGGTCCCGTCCTTCCTCAGCATGCTCAGCACCACCAGTCCCTCGCTGCTCCCACCCCACGTGGATGGTGCTACCTGGCCTCCCCAGTATCCCCCAAACACCCCCCAGCTCCGCTCCTCGCTTACATCTCAGCTACCTGGACCAGCAGAGCGAGTAGGAAGGTCCCAAAGGGTGTTCTCCCCCAAACCCGTCCCGGGAGCAGCACCGCCAACATCCCCCCCACCCCCCAGCTCCGTACCCCTGTGCCCACCATCTCTGGCTCCCTGACTGTCGTCCCCTCAGAGAAGGGTGGGAAAAGGAGAGACACCTACTAGACTGCAAGGTGCGCTCTCGGACCTCCGGGGTGAAGGCCCCCAGGCCCAGAGCCGAGCGGGCGGCCAGCCGGAAGACATACTCAGTGTTGGGCTTCAGGCCTTCCACGGTGAAGGAGGTCGTTGGCTCGAAGTTCTTCAGCACCTGAGCCGGGCAAGGTGGGAAGAGAAAAAAAAATAAAAAATAAAATAAAACCAAACAAAAAGGAGTAGAGGTGAACTCTTGCCCAGAGACGCCTGCCCTGCTCCCCCTCTCGCTGGGATGCTCCTCAGCCACAGCCTTGCTCCTCTCTGGACTCACCTCCTTGCTGTGGTCTCCTTCCTTATAGAGGAGCTCGTACTTCACTATGATCTCCTGGCGTGGAGGGCTCCACGTCAGCACGATGCTCGTCTCGGTCTTGGCGTCTGCACGGAAGTTCATCGGCTGCCCAGGAACTGGCACGGAGAAGGAGCCGACGGGGCCGAGGAGGCGAGATAAGAAACAGGAGAAAACACATTAGCTTGGCTAATTAGAAGGCTCCTGCCCTCTTTTCTTCAAAGCCTGGGTGGGAAGAGCACGTCAGCAGCAAAATGCCATACTGCAGTGTGGGCAGGTCCTGCCTCTAAAGCAGTGGAGTTAAATCCCACTGCAGGACTCCAGCACGAGCAGAGCTGTTGGAGATGGAGTGTCCCACTGGATCATATGCCTCTTTCTCGGTGGTGCAGAACACAGCCCTTCACACTAATTCCCAGTAAGAAGCCCATGAGGATGCAGGGTTTCCTCACCAGCACCCCATGCCATAAGCACTGGAAAGAATGTTGGGTGACAGCCTCTGATAAAACACCTTGTGTTTGCAGCTCAGCACATCTGCTGTGACAGTTAGGGCTTTGTTTTGCTCCTCATGCAGAAAAGAGTAAAAAAAAAAAGGCTCATTTTCCCACTCATCTCTGACAAAGTAATTTCTGCGTACTTCAGGGACAGTCAAGTGTCACCACTGCCTGGTCAGTGAGTGGATTAAGGTCTATTAAAGACATTTAGAGTTATAAAAAGGCTTTGGTTGGAAGAGACCTAAAGATCTTCCAGTCCCATCCCCTGCCATGGGCAGGGACACCTTCCACCAGCCCAGGTTGCTCCAAGCCCCATCCAATCTGGCCTTGGACACTCCCAGGGATGGGGCAGCCACAGCTTCTCTGGGCAACCTGTGCCAGGGCCTCCCCACCCTCACAGCCAAAGAATTTCTTCCCAACACCTAATCTGAACCTCTAACTCCAACCAACAGCTCTCCCTCCTGCACCCCAGGGCAGTGACACAGGCACTCACCTCCCTGCTGCGTCTTAACCTGGATGGGGTCGGAGAGGGGCCCGTCTCCCACGGAGGTGAAGGCCAGGACCCGCACGGTGTAGGTCTCATCCTCGAGCAGGCTGCCCACCGTGGTCAGCAGGCTGTCGTCCACGTTGTGCTTCTGCCAGTTGCTGACGGGCTGGTCGGGCTCCATGGTGTAGTACACGCGGTAGCCGCGGATCTGCCCGTTGGGCTCCACCGGCTCCTCCCACTGGATGATCATGGTGGTGCTGCTCAGCATCCGGCCCTGCACGTTCCGGGGGGCGCTGGCAGGGGCTTGTTCCCCGGTGCGAGTGACCACTGACTCGCTGGGAGGCCCCTGCCCGATGCTGTTGACTGCGGAGACCCAGATCTCGTACTCGGAGTTGGGGCTGAGCCCCCCGATGCTGTAGCGGGTGGTGGTGATGTCCTCCTTGATCTGGTACGGCCCGTCCTGGCTTTTGGACTTGTACTCAATGACATAGTAGGACACGGGGTCTGGGTTTCCAGAGTCCCAGGTGATGGTGATACTTGTTGCTGTTGTCTCTGTCACCACTGGCGTCCCAGGAGCCTTGGGAAGTGCTGGGAATCAGGAAGAACAGGCATTTAAAAAAAAACAAAAACCACACAAATGCTGAAATGGTGCCTAATTGGGCTGGTTAGGGCTGCGGGAGCCGGAGGCACAGCACCAATCACGGCAGCTCGGGAAAGTGCTGCTGGAATATTATGAACCTAGTTATACACTCTATTATCCTCCTTAAACTGCTCCATCAAAGGGAAGGCGTTCAGCTAAACATCTGGAATCATTAGCTTAGGCTTCAGCTGCACATCCGCCGGCTCACATGGCAGGGAGGGGAAGCGGCTTCGCAGGAGCTCCTTCCCAGCCACACACTCAGATGTTCGGAGTGGCTCTGGCACTGCTGAACCTCCCCCTCTTCAGCAGGAGGCACCGGCACAGTGTGGGCTGAGCTCCTCAGAACAAAACCCCATCAATCCTGGGAGTGCTTCCTCTGAAGCCACAAAGGTGTGTTAATACTCATCTCCCTCTCCCTCAGCCAGACGACTCCCCATGGAGCTTGTTGGGGACTGCACAATGCCCGACACCTTTAACAATGCCCGACACCTTTAACAACAAGTGTTAAGTCTTCTCAAGCTTTACCTATTGTCAAGTTTTATGTGTTGTCCTCACTACACTCTTTGGACCCCTTCCAACCTCACCTTATCACAGAATCTCAAACTGGCTTGGGGTGGAAGGAACCTTAAAGACCATCCAGTTCCACCCCCCTGCCACGGGCAGGGACACCTCCCACTAGACCAGGTTGCTCCAAGCCCTGTCCAACCTGGCTTTGAAGCCTTCTCTAGACCAATAACACTCTCACTTCTCCTTTCATCTTCAGCCTTGGAGAGCTGCAGATGCTCACACACAGAAATGTAAAAGGAAGAACAGGATACAAACAAAATGACAAAAGGCAGAAGGTACCAGCAGGGTAAGATTCTCCATCTGAGGAGATGGGGGAGTTGGAAGCAGAAGCAATCCACTCTTCACAGCAGCTTTTTAAATTGAGATGATTAGACAGGGAAAGAGGGGAAGGAAGGAAACACTCAGGAGAATAAAGAGGACCTGAGTCCAGCCCCAGGCATCCTTCTGCTGGCATGAGAGCCCACTCCCTGTGCAGAAGCTCAGGATGAGTGTCATGCCAAGATTCATTCATCCCTACTCATCTCTCCTGTCAGACCTTCCTCAGGCAGATCACTGATACAGCACGACTGTTTTCCTTTATCCCTCCCCTTTTCCGACGTGTTTCTCCTCTCATCCCCCACCCGCCACATCCTTTCCCACCCTGTCTCTCCCAGATCCCTCCTGGGCAACACCAGCACTCGGAGCAGACACCAGCTCACACGGAGCTCTACACTCACCCAACCTCAGGGGCTTCCTGCTTGGGTTTAATACTCCCCTGCTGAGGACAGAATAGATTGAAGATGGCACCCGTGCTCCTCTTGGGAATCACTAGTTGGAAGCTGGGGTTACTCCCCATCTTGTTGAGGCAACAACGGCCACTAAGATGCTGGAACTAAGCTCTACTGCAAGGGTTCACATGCCAGAGATCCTCAGGGCCTTGGCTGAATCTCTAACCTTGGAACAGGATGGCATGCGGGCTCCAAGCCATCCAAGGCTCCTTGCAAAGTGCCCAGCCAGACTCATATGCCAGGACAGACACGAGCATGCAGGGGACTGGAGCCACACTTTTCTTCGTAACAAACATCTCAGGTGGCCCAAAGCCAGGGAAGGTCTCAAGCCACCAGCTTCCCCTTCACTGAGGGTTTCCCTGTGTGTGGGATCCCTGAGGGACACATGCACAGATCGCAGCACGTGGCACTGGGGGTGCACAGGCCTGTCTCCCTGCCCATGCTCACAGACCTCCAACGTGTACACACAGGCTGGTGGCAAAACACAGACTTACACACGTGCAGCCAGGCATCCACATGCCCACAATGCAGCCACGGTGTCCCCCTCCATCTCCCACACCTTGGACATGCAGAACCGTGTCCTTCTCCGTGCACACACACACACACCCACTCGTGCACAAGCACCTTTGTACATGCAGAACTGCGCCCCTCTCCATGCACACGCACACCCCCCTGACTCATGCAGGAGCACCTGGCCATGCAGGACTGCGTCCCTCTCCATCTCCCACTCGTGCACAAGCACCTGGCCGTGCAGGACTGCATCCCCCTCCATGCTGGCCACACAGGACCGTGCCACCCACGCTTCCCCCCGTGCAGCTCGGGCAGCGCCGCGCTCTCCCCGTGCAGACACACCACAACACCAGATCCAGCATTCCCACTCGTGCCACACCCCACAGACGCTCTGCCCACGTGCTCAGACGCCCTGCCACGCGCCCTGCCGGCTCCATCCCCCTGCCCCCGTGCCCGCTCCCCCACACGTGCAGCGGGGCTCTGGCCGTGCCCGCGCTCCCTTACATTTCACCGTGATCTGGGCAACGGCTTCTATGACTCCCAGACTGGACATGGCCACGCAGGTGTAGTTGGCGGAGTCCTTGACGTCCGTGAGCTCCAGGACGTTCCTGCCCACGGGCATGTCGTCCTCGGGCGTCAGGTCCTCCGCTCCCTGCATCCACTTGACGTAGGGCATGGGCGAACCCACGGCCACGCACGTGATGTTGACGTTGCCCCCGGGCATGATTTCATGGCTGACAGGTAAGATGGAGAAGCGAGGGGCCACACGGCGAACTGTGGACGAGACGCACAGAGGTAACAAAAAAAAAAAAAAAACAAACCGAAACAAACGAACGAACAAACAAAAAAAAAACAAAACCAAAAACGAAAAACCAAAAAAGTAAAACAAAAAACCAAAACAAAACGAAAAGCGAAAAGAGAAAGAAAGGAAAGAAAAAGAAGGGAGAAAAAAGAAAAAAGAGTAAAAGGTAATTTAAATACAGATGGGGTTTGTCATCGTTTTATTTTCTTCCTCCATTAAAAAACAAAACGAAAAAACGAAGAAATGAAAAAATCGAAAATCGAAAACCGAAAACCAAAAACTAAAAACTAAACTTCAAATAAACTTGTACTTCACAAACAATATATAGAATATAGACATAAAAGCGATATTTCATAGCAACAGGGTTCCATTGATCAAGATTAGACCCATCACAGCACAGATAAATACACAAAAATTTATTAGCAATTTCTCATCTTTACTGGCAAGAGCTGGCATGGCGAGCGTCCAAAAATCTCCTCCGTGGCCGCTGGGGCCCCCAGCTCCCCGCTCCACACCCCGGGAACCTGCTCCTCCCCTTTCCCAGTGGAGTCTGATCCCAGATCACCTTCTCCCAAAGGGAACAGCCCGTCCACCACCACGGCCCGGCGTGGTCCAGGTGCCCCCTCTGCCTCCGGAGAGGGGCCCTCTCCCACCCAGGGATGCTGCAGAGGTGGGGTGGGGGCGAGGAGAAGGTTGGGATGGAGATGGAAACTTCTCAAGGTTTTGCCTTGTTGGACCCAGAGAATTCAACAAAGAGAGAAGTGTCACATCCCCAAATTCCAGACACGCCACTTGAGAAGTAAAAGGCTAAATGGTAAACAAGGGAGGAGAGGGAGTCCCCGGAGTGGGACAGAATTTAGTTGGTGCCTGCGTGTGAGAAGCGTCCAGGGGAACGCAGTCCCCCTGGAGCGAGAGAGAGTGTGGAAAAGATGAGAAACTCTAATGAAATTTTTGTGGTTTTCGGGTATAGAAACCCTAACGAAGCCTCTTTAAGATCTGACACGGTTCCATCGATAGATGCAGCTCTCAGAGTCACAAACATCATGCAAAATAGGTAAAAAAGAGATACAGAGAGAGAGAGAGAGAAAGAAAGAAGGAGAGAGGAAAATGCAGAGAAATATAATTTCTGGGCGGCTAGCAAATGCCCACATGGATACTGGGTAGAGAGTGAGCGACAGAGAAAGGAAGGAAGACCAGGAGAAGGAGAACAAGAGGGACAGGGAGAAAGAAGAGAGAGAGAGAGAGAGAGGGAGGGGAGGGGGGAAACCCACTTTAATGCTGCATACTTTTTCTAGCTGATGTGACCCAATGTGGTGGCTCACATTGTCACATCTCAGCCCTGGCGGAATAATAAATAGAATAGAATTAATAAGAAAAACAAGGTAATGAAACTTTTAACGTTGAGAAAACAGTGACATGTTCTGTGCATCTCCTTAGCAGAGAGGTGGATGCAGCTTCCAGACCTTACACAGGAAGAACATGGACGCAAAGAGGGAGGCTGTGGTTTCCTTGGCTCCATTTTCTGAACTACCTGGGCTGGCTGGAGGAACGGTGGGTGCCCTTCCTTAGAGGGGGGGGGAAAGCAGGAGAAGGGACTAAGGAGAACGTGTGTGGATCAGAGAGGCCCTGGGGAGGGAGCTGAGGGCAGGGTCTCATCCCACAGGCAAAGACAAAAGGATATGGACCCGGGAAAAATGCAGGAACAGCAGCAGCTGGAGGGGAATGGAAGTGCAGGATTCCTCCAGCTTCAGGGACAGCCATGCAGGAACTCCCTCAGGCAGGGTGGGCCAGGGGGCAGGAGTGTTTGGAGTGCTGGGGGCCTGTAAACCACCTGTCCCTGCTGTCCTGTTCCCAGGGAACTTCAGAACAACCTCTCTAGGGCTCAGGGGCCATCGCCTCATGCAAAAGCAAAGCAAAGGGCAGCAGAGCTGAGCCTGCCCGCGCTCCTCCCGAGTCCCAGTGTCCTGAGATGTCCCCTGGAACTGATGTCTCGGGGTTTTCTGGTATTTATCTTACTTCCCTGGCTGTCACTCAGCTTTATGGGTCTTTTCCAATGGGAAGGGTGCTGCCAGGAGAGGTAGTGGTTGTTTGCCTTTTAGGAGGGCTTTGGTAAACAAAAGCCAACTGCAGCCCTTGCACTGTCCTGCAAGGTGACAAGGGACATCTTCACAGCAAGGTCTGGTCTCTCCATCGGGCTGTCAGACTCTTTTCTGCAGGTACCAGTAGCCAGGAACCAGTACTGGGAGGCAAGGAAGAGAAGACTTCCAGATTCGTGGCACCAGAAGCTCGGGAATGGAAGGGGATAATTCCTGCATGCATGGATTTGCAGGGAGAACGGGTGGCATGCCCTCAGCAGGGGAAAGAATTGGAATGTGGAGGGAGAGACTGCAAGCTCACCTGGCCACTGACACTCGAAGGTGACTTTCTACCTGGAGAAAGGTGTAAGGAGGGTTTTTGTACCACCTCAGGGACCAGCACTGTCTCAAAGGATCAGGCAACATGCTCCTTCCTCCCTCCTGTGACTGTGGAGGACTTTCAGCCCTAAAAATGAGGGTACATCCCTGTTTCCTACTCCATCCTTCTTCCCACTGCTTCTGGAGGGGTCACAATTCAGAAAATGGAGCCAGGTGAAAACCACACCTGTCACAGTCTGAGACAAGATGGAGAGAACTTGGAAAAGAAACAAGTGGGGTCAACATGCAGACAAATCTGGGGTGGGGATGACTCTCTAGAGGAGGGGCTGGCATGTAACCTTCTGGAGAGGGGAGGCAAGGTGGGAAAGGTGAGGAGGGATGGGGAGACATATCCGGACAAGATCCGGTCAGCAAACAGCATCAACAGCAACAAACAACGGCAGGTGGGATGCAAACACTGAGTTGTCATGGGAACAGAACAAGACAGTTAATTCAAACCGAAGCTAATCGCAAAGAAATAAAACCGAACCGAAAGAGAAAGGAAAAAAAAAAAAAAAAAAAAAAAAAAAAAAAAAAAAAAAAAAAAAAAAAAAAAAAAAAAAAAAAAAAAAAAAAAAAAAAAAAAAAAAAAAAAAGAAAAAAAATAACAAAGAAAAGAAAAGAAAAAGGAAGAACAAACCAGAATTTAATAACCGAAAAGCATTATCTGATGTAGGGCGGAGTGCTGAGAATCGGAGTCTGAAGGGAACAGACTGTTCCTGGCTGTGGTTTTGGGCAGGGAAGAAGAGATCCACTCACAAAACACAAGCTCCCAAAGAACTGCAGAGCAAACCCTCCCCTCCTCCTCACAGCTCCCAGGGGGTGCAGGTCAGCTCCGTGGGGGTCACAGGCCACTTTGGGGCTGGTTTAATTTGGGCGAGGGCTGATGTGAGCCCAAAGCAGGCAGCAGCACTTCCTTGGTGCATCCTGGTTTAAAAAAAGCTACACACTCCCGTGTGTGCACAAGTCTGCCAACATCCACACACCGGCCTGGGATGGGAAAATAACTCCAGTTAAATGCTGGAGACCTCAGAGAGTCCCTGGATACATCCCTGCCACAGCTCAGGGCTGGGACAACCACGATAGTTAAAGGGTTCATCTCTGGCTACCCACCACCACGCCCCTGTTGATGTGAATTGCTACACCACTCGGATTTGGCTGGTGACATGGAATTTGTCAAGGTGAGAACCTCTGGGTCAGCCTTTAGGACAAGGCCCAGGAGGAAGAGAGCAGTGGTGGGAAGGAAGCTGGAAGTGCAGCTAGAGATGGAATCAAGACCAATTTCAGCTCTGGGTCCTGCTGGGTGTCACACACAGCAGCTGAAAAGAGGGAAATTTTACAGGTGAAAAACGTGGCAAAAAGAGATTCCCTTCCGTTTTGCTTTCCAAGACTTTCAAAGGACCAGGAAGAAAAGCACTGGAAACGAAAACACTGGGATAGGGCAGTTACAGACACTTCTCTTAACACTTCTCCCAGTTGCTGGTACAAGAAGCACCTTTCCCTGAGTTCCAGGGATGTTTGGTTTCCAGGACAGCTTTGCCAGACCTGGGTTACGAAGCCGACCTCGCATGCGTACACGGATGTTTCATGCTCCATGTGCAGCAGCTCCCGACGGACACACACACAAGCAGGCACACACGAACAGACATTTTTTTCCATGGCCAAAAAACTCCCAGGAGCTTTTTTCAAACGAGGATACAGCTCATCACCGATAGAACCAGATTTCAAGGCAGGAGCTGGACGTTTGGGATGCAAGTTGAATCGTTTCAATGCAGAGAAGCCATTTCTGAGGCACGGGGAGATTTCTGAAGTGCAGTCAGTTATGAGTCTGTTTAATTGTCTGTTGGGTAAGCATTTCACGCTGCAAATCTGCACCCCAAATCGGGCTTTTTAAAGAAACAGAACAGATCCATAACTTTTCACACCCTTGGGAAGCCAATTGGTTTTGTTGCTGCTCACGGAGGCAGAGGTTAGCCCAGTTTGTGTTGTGTGAGTGGCATTTTTGGCTTTTTTTGGTCCCAATCAGCATGGCTAAGGTTCCCCACCACCACCACTCTGTTAAGAAGAGGTCCACAAGGTGAGAGGTGTTTTTGCAAGGGACAGATTTACAGACCTGGTCGGAAGAGACACTGTGAGATCCAGGGTTGACATTTGCAACACCAGAATCCATCCTTAAAATGCGTTCCCAGGACGCTGCTAGTGAGAGAAATCTGAGGACCAACCAACCAGTTTGTGCTGAGGAAATTCACCAGTTGCACTTTTTAAGCCCCTTCCAGATTCCCTCAGGGAGAAGCAATGTTGGAGGAGGAGCGAGGTGGGGAAAGGAGCACGTTCCGGACAAGAACCCGTCACTTCAAACCCCGATTCACATTAAACCAACTCAAAAGTGAAACACATCTCATATACCTTAAAGGAGAAATCAATTGGGAAAAGGAAAACGAAAAGAAAGTGAAGTGACTGGTTGAAAGCACCGAACAAAACCAAATGGTATTGAACATTTTGACACTCAGCAAGCTGCTGCTCCAAATGAGGTGAGAAGGCGGACATTATTGGCCATTTTGGTGAGACAGGAGTCATTCCGTCTTGCTCCAAAATGAGGAGGGGGTAGGGAAAGGGTGCCAAAATAATGTGCAGCCTCTACATTATTAGTGAAGCTTAGATTACACCTGTCCTCCCCTCCCAAAAGGTGGTGTGTCCCTGCCCCCCTGCGTGTCCGTGCAGCCGCCTCTGCCTCTTCCCTCTCCCATTCCAATTCCAGGTTCGTTCCTCTGGGGCCAAACAAACGCTGTTGGGTTTGGATTTCCGACCTCCGTCCCTCCACAGGACGAGATACTTCCCTCCTCACGCCCATCTCCTTCCTCATTTCCTTCACGGTAAATAAAAATAAATAAGTAAATAGGCAGATAAATAAAGAATGAGCCCAAGGTTTGGATTTGGTCTGGAGGAAATCCATTACCTTCCCAATAATTGTTACTTTTCACTTAAAAAACCACATTAGCCGAGTGACAGGCTGGCTGAACATCTCTGGTCTTTTGTAATTCTTTTTTTTTTTTTTTTTTTTTTTAACAGGATTAAACAGAAAATCATCGAAATCCAATTGTTTTTTCAAGCAGCTCTGCAATTTTAAACACAGACTCGACTGTTTTAGTTTTTGTTATTTTAATTTGACAAGGTGTAATCTAATTTTTTCCCCTAAAACAAAGAGAACAGCGATGCAAAAGGTGTAAGAGACACAGGCAGGCAGAGATTTCGAGATCAGTACAGCACAGTGTTCCTGCAAAGTGCCCTCTATAGAGAGATAGTCATGTATATACATAGATATATACACAGTTTTGAATTTTTTTGATTTTTTTTTTTTTGGGGGGGGGTGGGTGGCTTTTTGTATCCATTTCCATTTCCTGATACCCTTGAGAAATCCTTCTGCAGAAACACAGTGAAGTTTTTGTTTGCTTTGTTTGGTTTGGAACTAGAATTTCAGAGCTGAGGACACCCCAAACACGGACAGGGCGCTCCCCCACCCATGGAAATGCTAAAATAACCCTGAAAAAACTATCCCAGAACTCTCCATCCCTAAATGCCAGCACCTGGAAACTGGGCACTGCAGGGGCAGCTGTACAACCCAGTGGTGGGTCTGCCTCCCTCCTTCTCCATTCAAGAATTTATCAGTCTAGTCTAAAAACGTCTTCAAATTCCTGCAGTTTAAAATACCAATGGTCGTTTTGCCCTCATGGCTATTTGTTAAATCTCTAGTGCCAGTGGAATTATTTCCTTCAACCTCTAAATGGCATTGAAAGGGAAAAGCTCAGCAATGGTTCCACTTGGAACCAAGCAGCAGCTCTGGTCTGATGGTCAAATTACACATGAGCCAAACTTAACCCAGGCTAGAGGCTAAATTATTGCTTAAATTAGTCACATTTTAATCTATTTGGAAGTTTATTTCCTGAGGTGCTCAGCACACTATTCCTGCACTTTCTATGGGTTTTATTTCGATTGATTTCTACTAGTTCTGCTCCTACGTGTTTAGCCCTGGCCTGGTTTCATCTTTGGCCTCTCAGTGAGTTGAGGTTTTCCTGAGAGCCTTGAGAATTACTGGAAATGTTCTCAGCCAGACCTGGAACTGCAGTACCTGACTCGGGGTGACTAAACACTGAGCTGCCTCCGACAGGCACAGCAGCACTGGGCTGGTTTAAATTCCTGCTGAGCCATTTACAGCTCCCTGGGCTGGAAAAGAGCAGAGCCACAAGGAGCTCGAGCGGAGAGGAAAAAGGATTATCCCTGCAGCATCCCAACTGCTGCCTTTTGTATCTCCCAACAGGGCCCCACCGCACGAAAAAGGGAAAAAAATTTTAATTTTGGTAAATTCAACCATGACAACACGTCCTGTACCAGCAGCAGCAGCAGCTCTGCACAGTCAGAGGATGCCAAAGCACAGCCCACGTGGCTCATTCCTCCTTCCCTTTCCCATAATAAAACACAAGGCAAATCCTTAACCAATGATTTCAAGACCATGCCCCATGGTTTGGGTTGGTAGGGACCTTAAAGATCACCTGGTTCCACCCTCCTGCCACGGGCAGGGGCACCTTCCACTAGACCAGGTTGCTCAGAGACTGTAACTTTAGCAAACCACAAGCTCTTCTAGCCAGGTATCAAGTCTCTATTTCCTCACCCAATGTCATTCCAGCCTATCATGCCTAAATCCCATTTAGCTTGAGTTTATTGTTGTTGATATTATTATTATTATTATTATTGTTATTGGCTTTTTAGGAAGAATTTAATCTTCAAACCTTCTCAGATCACAAGAGATTCTACCAGCAGCAGCGCGGTTTGGCCATGTTAGAAATAGTTTAGGAAAGAGAAAATAAACAAATAAAAAAACAATGGTGTATAAATCCCTTTTTAATTGCACCTAAATCCTGAAACTTAAACTCCTAGTCACGAAGGAAAATCCTGTAATTAGGAGTGATTATCACCTTTTAGTCCTAGGCAGGAGGGAGGTGGGATGGGAAAACCTAGTTTCAAACACTATTCCTTTTCTCTTTTTTTTTTTTTTTAAATATAGAACAAGCCTTTTTTTCTTCCTTTTTCTTTTTTTTTTTTTGCTTTGAATAGAGCCTTGGGGCTGGGGGCTGGTTTTTTGGCTATTGTTGGCATCCAAGTGAGAAGAGCCACAGCTGGTCTCTTCCCAAAGACATTCCCAAGAGCGCAGCATTTCGGAGTGGAACCCTCGAACCTACGGGGAGGGGGGAGAGACTTGAAAGGGGGAGGGGAGAATACCAGCACTGAGGGTCCGAGCACTGAAATCTCAGCATTTTAAGAAAAAAAAGAGAAGGACAGACAGAGAGAAAGAGAGAGATAGAGCAAGAGAGAGACAGATAACTGTGTCAATACTGCACTGGATTTCTCAAAAATCACACAGCTTTAATACCTGTGCCCTAGGAAAGCCACTCCTTTGGTAGCTGGTTGAGGTGAGGACTGAGGGGCAGAGGGAAAGGCATATCCAGGGAAAGGGCTGGCATTCACTTCTGCACAGGGAAAGCAC